ATGAAGTGCACACGTAAGTACCTAGGTATTTAAGTACACAGCAGCTCCGTCGGCCTCCACCGGCCAGTCAGCGTTTCGTTCTAAAAAGCTTCAATGTCAACTACAGTCTGGCCAGTGTCGCATTCGCACAGCACCGCACGGGCAAGGGGATCCCTTGGCCGAAGCTCGGTAGAAGGTCTGTGGAAGCCGCGCATGCACTCTGGTGTCTTAGACCAGGGGCACCGCCGTCAACGATTCCACGACGGCTTGACATGGGAGCAGCCAGCTAAGCCATGCCGATTGACCGGCCCCATCAACTGAAACGGCTTCTGGCCTCCACCATGTGGGAGTTTGGACAGGTACAAAACCAACTGAAACCCCTTTCTCGATTTTCCTGCGCCTATTTCCGACCCCATGGTACGGAGTACGAGTGACCGACCTACGTACATGCTAATGCTTATTTGGCACAGAAGACACATTTCCGATTAGTACTTTCATATTGATAGCACTCCGTCTTCTGCGCAGTCAGGCTGACCACCAAAAGAACAACTGTCTCACCCACTCGCCCTCGGGGCACCCGTTCTTCGTCTCATGTCAGCATTGTGCGACAATCGGTTTCATCAACCCCTTTACTTTCGTCTCAACGCCCTACAAAAAGAAAAATTGCCATCCCCTTCCCCCCTCCTTCTTCCCCCAAAAGAGCTCCACCATGGACCAGTTTACGTTGAATGCCCTGACACTTAGCCTGGTCTACTGATGAGTGTCGGCATGCAGCGGCGGGTCCGGTAATTTTATACCGAGTGCAAGCGCAGTAGGAAAGGCCTTGGTGTGCGGCTCATGAGCCAAGCTGGGTGGGTGTGAAGCTCGATTCGGAATTGTACGACTGAGTGGCGAATGCACGCTGTGTACCACTGGGAAGAATCGAAATCTTCCATGACCCTATTCTAGAGAAGGGCTCGATAAATACGTGGTGTTTTTTGGCAAGAGGCCACGATGGTGTACATGCCATGTGCCTGATAAGGCGGGTCCAGATATGGAAACACCATCTTCGCACAGGCCAAGACTTGGGGGCCCTGCAGCCTCGGCCGTGGAGATGTGTGGCTTGCCAAGCATCGTGTCGTTCATTTGAGTTTATCATGTGCTTCTGTAAATGTCCGGCAGGCATATATCATTCACTGCCGGGTTTCGGGGCAACAGCCTCATATTATGCACGCATGCTAGTGCCGGAATTTAGGAACACGCCTTGTTTCTTTCCCCAGGTCATGTCATGCGTGGGAGCCCACAGGCGGCAGTTCCGAGGGCGCAAATCTGGGTTCACTTGGCGCAGACGACGCCGCTTTCGAGCGGCAATGATAATCGTCGGTGCTTTTTTCTGTTTCGGTGCAATTCGCGTCTAGAAGATCAATCACCCATGCAACAAGCATCACTTCTCCATGAAACACGGATAGATACCATGCACAATAGTTGGGGAGTTACCACGAACAACACAACCAGACGATATAAAAAAATTAGGTCTAAGCCACTATGTTTGATGGGAACATTTGGCCAGTCTATATTTCCGAGACGCCGTGTCTAAAACGCCAATACCCCACAAAGCACCCTAGTCTTTGTTGACTTTTCTACAACAAAATTGTTCTCATGATCTTAGGAACGTCTTAAATACCTCGGAGCTCGTGCACTCTTCAAACGGATAGTCGACATCTTTGAGGAACTGGGCTAGTTCACCGCTGTCTTCCTCGGGACATGAGATTCCCGCCAGGACCTTGGCAATGTCACCCCCATAGTTTCGATAGTGGAAAAGGCTAATGGTGAATCTGGGCCGGAGGGCTTTGAGGAACCGCTCCAGTGCTCCAGGTCGCTCAGGAAAGCTGAACATGTACAACCGCTCGTTGGCGACGCCGGAACGACCGCCTACGAGATACCTGAGATGGCTTTTGGCCAGTTCATCACCAGAAAGGTCTGTCACCACCATACCTTCGGCTCGGATGCGCTCGATAAGCATGGAGAGTTCCTCGTTTCTCTTAGCCAGTGGGGCCGTCAGGGACAAGCCAATCATGACATTGGCAACGTTTTGGTCGGCGAAGCGATAGTTGAATTCGGTGACGGCATAAGGCATGATGGTATCGACGAGTTTGGCAAACGCCCCGGGTCTCTCCGGAATAGTGACAGCTAACAGAACTTCTTTGCCTTCACCGACAGCAGCGCGCTCGGCGACAAATCGAAGACGGTCAAAGTTCATGTTCGCCCCGGACGTCACGGCCACGAGGGTGCGGTTTGGGTCTTGCGATGGGTGCTGAGAGACGTACTTCTTCAGACCGGCAATAGACAGTGCCCCCGCAGGTTCCAGGCCGGATCGCGTATCATCGTACATGTCTTTAATAGCAGCACAAATCTCATCCGTCGTCACCTCGACGACGTCGTCGACGACTTCCTGGCAGATACGAAATGTCTCTTCGCCCAGCGTCTTGACAGCGGCACCATCAGCAAACAATCCAACCTCGTTGAGCACAACTCTCTCGCCTTTTCTCAATGATTGGGCCAAGGCGTTTGCATCATAGGCCTCGACAGCAATAATTTTAACGTGGGGAGCCATGCGCTTCACGTAGAAGCCAATGCCGGCAATGAGACCGCCGCCGCCGGCGCAGCAAAAGATGGCCTCAACCTTGGACATGTTTACTTGTCCAAACAGCTCGTTTCCAATAGTTCCCTGGCCAGCAATGACATAAGGGTCGTCAAAGGGGGGGATGTTGATAAGCCCATCTTGTTTTTCCCGTCGGGCGCACTCCTCCTTGGCAGCATCAAAGTCTGCGCCGTGCAGCACCACATGACCACCTAATCTCGCAACATTCATGTGCTTAATACTGGGTGTTCCTTCGGGCATGATAATGGTAGCAGGGATTTTGAGCTTTCTCGCCGAATAGGCAACGCCTTGAGCGTGGTTACCGGCGGAACAGCACACGACACCCTTCCAGCTCAGGGCAGGGTCCAAATGCGCCATCTTGTTGTACGCGCCGCGCAGCTTGAAGCTAAATACGGGCTGTGTATCCTCTCGCTTGAGGAGAACATTGCATTCGAGCCGGTTGCTGAGGTTGACTGCCGGGCTAAGGGGCGTTACTTTGCAAGCTTCGTAGACTCTGGAGGTGGCGCTAGCAATCATGCGAAGGTACTGTGGGCGTCGGTAGTTTGGTCAGTATGGAATTGAGATGCAGAGTCAGTAGCTACATGGTGTCTCTGTTTCATGGAAACGCACATCGGGATAGCCATTGGGAAGCAACAGATCATCGGGAACAGCTTGTCGCAACTTGGCTCTTTTCTCCTCCGATGACGGCGAGGGGTTGATGCTGTAGTCGGTCAAGGCCATGCGGCCAGCGGGCGTCTCGGGCCTGTGGTGGCCATTGGTCTCTGAAAACACGCCGTTTGTCTCGGCATGCCCAAGGAGAGAAGGCATCTCGAACTTTATGAGAGGATTGGAGGTGGTTGTGTGATGTTGGAAAGACGAAAAGTCTGGTTGTGGCGTCCAAGGCTAAAATTGTGACCGCAAGCCGCAGCAATCAGTCACATCCGCCGAAAGATCGGACCCAAGATTCTGCACACCGGCCTTGCCTTTTTTTTTATTGGGTCTGGTTGCCCTCTCCTGGCCTCTGCACTGGCTAGCACAACAATGGGCGGGGTCCCAGTGACCAGACCAGCAGAGACCAGTCGACGCTCAACTGCCACGTAGGGGCAATCCAAGTGGTCCGAAGACGGTCTGGTTGACTCATCAATCAAGGATCAACTGTCCCAGTCAAGGAAACATGTGAGAAAAGAGGTTTTTTATTTTATCTTTATTTCTAAAGTAAGTTCCGTCAACTACCTAGGTATCCGAAGTGAAGTACTGCGTACAGTAACTCAACACCTTTTATCGTCACATCATGTGCCGCCAACCACGGGACCTGCTTAAGGGGTGCAGTGTACTCCGTAAGTACGTAACTAATTTGTGTCCATTGGGAGGGGCAAATCAGGACCGACGCGATGGTAATGACACCCAAAATACAAGTTGATGCCGTGGGGCTGTTGCAGTTGTCTTGATAGACGGATCTGGCAGGGTATTGCCGACATTGGAACCAGAATACAGGATAGATAAAGCCAGCCACGACAGATTTTGTAACACTTCAACATTTAGTAGGTGATGCTTCTAAACCTCTGCCGTAAAATGCCGGGCCTGAAGCGGATCGCCGCTCCAAAAATAGTCTAGCGCGCTAACACACGCCACCGTCGGCAGTCGGCGGGTTGGGCCGACTAATATTAAATGTCAAGTGCCTTGGTCCCAGCATACGCAACCTCTTTTCTTTCTCAAATTTTGAGTGCAACATAACATCTTGGTCAAAAAATGTTATCCCCACGCTGACTCTCCGTGCAGAAAGCCTCGACTAAGGGATTAAAATCTCAAACTCAAAAAGTACCCGCCTGCCGGCCGATCAGCTCTTGCCGCGAAGTGAATTTTGGTTCCACGGTACACATAAGATCCGAAACACGTAAATTGGTTCACACAAAATCCTGGACGGGTTTTTCGGCTGAAAACTAAGCTACTAACAGGATCTGGAATAATACCTTACGCTGAGGCAAAAATGTAGCGAGACTATCCTCCAGTCTAAAGCATCGGGGTCTACGTCGCTGCTGGTGGAGATTGGCCGCCACAACCATCACAATGACAAGTCACGCTGCGCAATATCTATTTGATACGTTTCGATTCCTCGGTTTTCTAACTTCAGTCTTGCTATGGGACGTCCAACTGAGCCCAACCCGCTGTTACTCTAGAGTGGAAGCCAGCTCTTTGAGGCCTACTTTTCTCTCACAGATTGCACAGTGGTTTGAACGAATTAGAAGAAATCTTTGTACTAGAGACTAATTTATAGATAAGCGTATCCAGGTACAAAAGGCAAGGCCAGCTCGCCCTGACATTGTTTCCACAACATGTTTCCGGCACAGACTTGTTGAGACGTGGACTTTGCACCCAGCACGTGTCCCCAGGCCACAGGTTTTTAGGGAAACGGCCGGATATCTGGCTGGGTGGAATTCTCAACCGCCTCCGCAAACAGCAGCCTGTTATTATCCAAATCAAAAACAGTATACACGGCCGACGCCCACGGAAACCCCATGCTATTCAGGTTCTCATCCGGCGCTACCGCCGCAATCCCCAGCCTACACTTCCCAGAGTCTCGATCTTCTGCTGTCAGCACAGAGTTGGAGATTTGGGTGTGGCTGAGGGGTACGCCGACGATGGTCTTGTCGTTATTGAATCCAAACAGGAGCTTATTATTGTCAGATACCACGGCGCAGTCGACAGCGTCGAGCTCGCCGTCTCTGACTCTTGTGCCGAGGGCCTTGGCCAAGGCCTCGACTGAGTCACGCGGGAGTTGGAGGATGACGCCGCCTGTATCGATGAGGGTAAATGCTTCGGAAGGCTTGAGGCCGAGATCTATGATGTCGTTTTTCTGGTTGCCGTTGTTCTGGTTGCCGTTGTTCTGGTTGCCGTTGTTCTGGTTGCCGTTGTTCTGGTTGCCGTTGTTCTGGTTGCCGTTGTTCTGGTTGCCGTTGTTCTGGTTGCCGTTGTTCTGGTTGCCGTTGTTCTGGTTGCCGTTGTTCTGGTTGCCGTTGTTCTGGTTGCCGTTGTTCTGGTTGCCGTTGTTCTGGTTGCCGTTGTTCTGGTTGCCGTTGTTCTGGTTGCCGTTGTTCTGGTTGCCGTTGTTCTGGTTGCCGTTGTTCTGGTTGCCGTTGTTCTGGTTGCCGTTGTTCTGGTTGCCGTTGTTCTGGTTGCCGTTGTTCTGGTTGCCGTTGTTCTGGTTGCCGTTGTTCTGGTTGCCGTTGTTCTGGTTGCCGTTGTTTTGGTTGCTGTTTTTGTCATTGTTCTTGTCATTGTTCTTGTTGTTGTTTCCCCCATTTTGGTCATTTTTGCCGTTCCCCTTCTTGTTATTTTCTCCGCCTCTGTTGTTCCCATCACCTCTATCGCCTTGATTGTCCCCTTTGCCCCCTTTCCCCCCTCTACCTCCTCTGTCTCCGTTGCCTCCGTTGCCCCCATTGCCTTCGTTATTATCTTCCCTCTTACTTAATCCATGTTGCCTATGGCTCCCACCTGAAGGCCGGGGAAGAGCCCGACCGTAATGAGAACGGCGGACTTGCTGACCTTGCTGACCTTCTTGGTCTTGTTGGTCTTGTTTGCCTTTCTTGTCTTTCTTGCCGTTCTTGCCCTGCTGGCCCTGCTTAGGTGGGCGATCATTCATCTGTAGCCGAATAGAAGTCATATTGACCACAAAGTCAACAATCTTGCCATTGTCAGCCGGATCAATGGGGACTTCCTGCAGTTCTTCTTTAATCCTGCTCCTGTCATAACCCCCTAAGACAAGAGTGCCATTCTCAAAGGCTATTCCAAGTCAGCTCAAACCTCATACGTGCGCTCCATCACAAACTTTTCCACCAATAAGGGGGTTGGAGGAAAAAGGAATATGGAAAAAGAAAATAAAAGGGGCGAGGGGGGGGGATGTGAAGACTCACGATTCCGGCTCAACACAACCCCCATGGCATTAGACCCAATAACCCCATTCTCTTTCATCTTGGCCACCATATTAACATACTTATTGTCCGTCTGCTCCGACTCCACCGGTCCGACCCCACAGATTGGAAACTGCGGGAAATCGCCAGGGAGACTCCCATTCACCGCCAAGGCAACTTGCGACTCAACAACCTTGGCGCCCCCAATCCCGATCGTCGTCTTGACAAACGGGCCGTCGAAGCCGTCGCCCCCTGAGAAGGTAGCGTTGAATGTCGAGTTATTCACCTCCTTAACATCGCTGCTCTTGGCAGGTTCAAAGTCCCCCGTAACGACAGGGGCTTTTCGACATTGCTGGTTTGGGAGGTTGCACACGGCGCTGCCGGCCTGCGGCACAATGATGTCGGAGGAGCCCGTGTCGAAGATGCACTTGATAGGTTGAGGCGGCTCGCCGACGCTCATGTGCATGAGCGGCTGGAACGGCCCTGCCTGGAGAGATTGGAAGTGTTCAATGTCAACAACGACTACCTTTGCCGGAGGCGCTTGGGAGAGGACATTTGGAGCGAGGACAATGGGAAGCATCCAGTGCTGCCGCATGTTGAAGCCGTTTGTTGGCATTGTGTGCCCTTTCCTTTTCTCCCGCGTGTAGGTGAGGTGAAGAGAGGAGGTCTTGTCGTGAGTCTTGCTCTTCATTCCCAAATTGAGCGTCGAGGGCCTTGATATATTATGTACGAGTTGTTGAACAGGTTTCGCCGCCATGCTCATGCCGACCTAGAGGCTGAAACGACACCGGCGCTCGCATGATGCGGCCCGTCGTGCGACGATGCCAACCATAGTCTCTATACCGAGGATGATATCGGATTTGCCGCTCGACGCCGAGTCGTGCAAACGCAATCAACATCAATGGCTAATACTTAGATAAAATCTTTATTATCGGGTAGGGCTGTCTCGGAACAGACTGAAACACCACATGTGCCCCGAACCCGCCTGGATTCAGGCGACATGAAACCGGCTCGTCATATTGCACCCGTCTTTTTCAGTCCTGAAAACGACCCAAAACTAAAAGTGTACTTGGCTAAGCCAAATAATATGCTATAGAGTAGCGGCTGATGTCCAGGTACCTTCGTCTGGTCGATCACTTTTCGTGTCGCCCCGTATCCACAGAACCTCGGGGAAATAGAGGGCTGTCAAAACGGGTTGTTTTAAGACTGAGTCGTGCACGCTACGGAGAGCCGTATTCTAGAAGGACTCACGGGGTGCAAGACCAAAGTTGAGTATTGAGTCAAGATTAGTACATTTCCTCAAAGAATTACTTCGATGGCAAAAGTTCGACGTAAGAAAGGGAGGATGGGGGGAGTAACTTAAGTGAAGACTTCTAATTCATTTATTCAAACCACCCTATTCTGTGACAATACTAATTAAATATGTTGCTGATACAGAGCCAACTACGATTGAGACAACTCCCAATATGCTCTTATTAAAGCAAGCCCTCCCGCTTGCGTTTCCACTGTTCGACCTCTGCCGCGATCATTTGGATCTCCAGGATTATTTTGCCGGCTAAGGACAATTTGCGAATCAACACTCAACTCGGGTGAAACGCCAATCCTTAGCTTTGGATCAGGCCTTAGCAAAAGGTCTTTGCACAGGCCGGTAGGCGTCTTCGAACCAGGCTGCCATGTCATGTTCAGACCCCAGATGACGTCCATCGGAGTTCCCTTATTCCGATAGTCAGTAGTGTTGGGGGTTGTGTGGTTGATGCCATCTGTTTGCCGGGAGGCATCGAATCCATCAAAGACGCTGGCTCCCCACCACATACCAAAACGACCCGCCTCGTCTCGAGTCGCCAGGGCTGCATCCATGTTGTACTTTACCCAATGTAAATAGCTGCGGCAGGCTTTGTCGTGAGCAGACTGCACTTTACTAAACTTGGTTTGGTTGGCGTTGGCGTCTCCGGGTATGTCCACCGGTGAGATAGGGGCGCAGAATGCGGTGAGGTGGTGAAAGAAGATGCCCTTGAAAGTTTGGCTGTCCTGTGAACATGTCCCATCGACGTCGCATTGCTCTTCTAGGATTCCGCCGCGACCAATTCCTCGCCAGGGAGGCAACTTCCCACGTGCTCTCTCGTTTACATTATCTATGGGGGAGTTCTTAACAAGGTCCCAACCCGTTGATTGGATGACATTTTGAATCAATGTGTGGCCCTCCTCTAGATAAGACGGACTACCAGTGACAGTGAACAATCCTCTTTGTCCCGTCAAAATGACGCCCTGGTTGTAGGTGTACACCATCTCATCTCGCTGGTCACACTCCACATTATTGGGCTTGCTCATGTCCACGTGGTAGCCATCGACGTACAAACCCTGACTATTCGTCATGTTGACATCCTTCAGCCACTTGTAGCCCACAATGGCAGCCGCCAGATACAGAGGGTTGTTGGTCGGAAAGCCCTGACTTGCTGCCCAGGCATCATCGAATCCGTCATCGGGGAAATACTCATACATGGAGATGGATGCCGAGATCCACAGTTCGTTGGTGACAGCGTTCTTGTAGGGGAGCAGCCTGGGATTCCAGACCATGCCCCCGTGACAAAGTCTTGTATCCCACCCTCTTGTAGCAAAATCCCAGAACGCTCTAGCTCGCTCAGCAAATGTGCAGTACCAGTTATATCCGTGGAAAGAAATGGTGCCGAGCGCGTCACTGAGCCTACCAGGCACATTCAAGCATGTTTGTTCTGTTCCAGGATAGTGGAGGCTTGAATGGAGGCGAACAAATTTGATTGCTTCAAGCCAGCCAAGGACTACCCATAGCACATCATCATATGCCTGGGTCAAGGTGCGTTAGTGGTTGGTTGGATATGAGGTCGTGAAGCGCGCGCTCTCACCTGGTCCAATATTGCAACGGCATTTTGTCCAAAGAATGAGTGCGTGACCTGAGCAAAGATGGAAGAAATAAGATTCTCCTTTTCTTTCCAGTTGCGGCCCTTCTCAGTCGAATCCAATGACTGGGTCAGAGTTGTCAGCATGCCGGCTATTACAGTTTCAACAACTGCTCCTGTCCAGTCAATCGATGTTGGCCAAGTGCCATTAACAGCTTCAAAATAGACATTTTGTAAAACTGACAACGCTGAGAAGGCGTCCTCGAGTACCCTTGGATCAGTTTCTGGGGTAGGAAGGGCATCACCCCGAGGGTTGAGAAAATCCTTAGGAACAGGCTGGCAACCAGGGGTTGATGCCCGGTTATACACTGAACAATAATCGATATCTCCCTTGAGAAGGCTGTTTGCAGTTGTCAACGTCGAAGCGACCAATACACCAAGACGGGCAATGGATAGCAGCCGCGTCATTTTGCACCAATGCGATCAAATGCAGTGGTATGTTCTTGCAGGCAAGCCACGGCCTGGAAGACGAGCAAGCACAGAAACCAACCTTACTTCTACTACCGAGTCGCGAGAGAGGAGGCCCTATTTTTATATAGCCTCTAAGGATCGTAGAGGGGTATCATGGGATACCAAGGACTGACAAGATATGCTGTGAGAGGTAGGATCGCGCTTGCGCAGCGTGCCGGCGAATACGACCATCTATCTAATCATATAACGGCAAAGATGCCTTGAGACATTGATCCTTGAAACTTGACTATGTCCCCACAGCAAATTAGACATTCAACGCTTTTTGTTAAGTCTGAAGAATGGTCGGGTGGTATGCATTCTCACCCCTCAACCCGACATGCGCCGTCGTGATGCGGCCGGTCAGTTGGTACTTGGTAACAAGGAGTTGACTGACGCACTGGTGTGGTCCCGTGTCGGCTTCAAGTGGTGGGGATCGCATCCCAGCAAGACGCATCATCAACCAGGGGAAGCTGATAATAGAAGCTCGACATGCCAAATATCATACGGTAAATTAAAGAAATGGTAGTAACAGCAAAATATTGGAGAATGTTTAATTGGAGTTTGGTTTTGTCTCGATGATACTTCAAGGCTTGCGAAACCGTTGTTTGAAGTCGAGTTTCAACGGATTTGGAATTTCTACCATCCTTGTACCAGCCCTCGATCTGATGTAGAATGGAAATAGGCAAAAATATGAGATGCAACCAATACAACTGAGAAAAAGCAACTCCGTCACGCGGCTCATGCCTTAGCCTTGGCGATAGTTCGTGCAGGTTAGCTCACACATGACCATTGCCAAGACGAACCACGGAGTTGGGTGTGTGAATGAAGACCGAGCTTGACATGCCGAGGAAGGCCAGCTGAGGCACCGGAGTGTCGATGGAAAACTCGAGTTGGACGAGAAGGAACATGAGCATTTGAGGCTCACACGACCATCTCGATAGTGGCATGGAGGAGGTTCAACTGCAAGTCGGTAACTGAGTTGCTGAAGTAAGTTACTCTGTTCTCCAGGCTCCATGTTTCCTTCCTACTTAGATCTTGGGCACTAGATGCAGTCAACTGGTCCGTTCATCGCCGCCCCACTTTCCAGTTTTCTATGGACGACGCCACTGGCTGAGCTGGTTTGTTTACTTTTTCCCAAAACAGTCCCATGCCCACCAACCAGAGCGCGCGACGACTGTATCCCCCACGATTGACCTTGGATCCTTCACTTTGCACACCAAATTCAGTGTACCTCGAATGTCTCGCTCCATGACAACGCCTCTGCACTTCGCCCAGCTTGCAAAGTTTCTCAGTTACTCTTGACATTCGCACTCCTCATGAACAACATCGGAGGTTAACAGCACGCGTTTCTGTAACTCGCATGCCCCTTCCTCCCTTTTGCCGAAGCCCTCCTCCCACGCCATTGATTACGCGCCTGTCGCATAGACGCGGCTGCTTCACGACCTGGAACTTGGAAACCCCAAACACCGTTCAACTATTCGCATCTATTCAATACCACTCGTCGACTCCTAAGCTCTGGCATCGCGTACAACGCGTAGTGGAGCCATGGAGACCGACGCTATACATCGGTATCGCTCACGCATTCTTAGAGAAATGAATGCTAACCGCGCCAATCCCTTCAACTCTCCCCCGTCCTCCACAGGCTCTCATGGCACCGTAACCATGTCATCACTCTTTTCCGACCCGGACGGCGAGTCTACGCGCCGACTCAACGAGGACATTGCTCGTGTTACTGCCCCGAGAAAACTTCCCGTCGATTGGGAGGCTGCCCACCGCAAGTGGCCGGAATACTTCTCTAAGCCCGATACGAACAAGGCACCCGTCTTTGATGATGCCAAGAATGTACGACCCTGGAAACCACAGTCCAAAGAGAACAAGCCGCCTGTCTCCAACGCCAAGTTCACCGTTGATAATTCAACTCAGGACATCTGGCCTTCTACAACCAAGACTCGTGCCGAACTGCAGCCCCGCGTCGACAACGAATCCGACATCTCTTCCATCCTGGACAGATCACCCGCCAGACCTGTTTCCTATTATGGCGCCACGAAGTCCCAGCAAAACCCTAGCCCATTGTCCAAGCCGCACACCCGAGCGCCTTCAGAGCCCATCGCAAATGAGCAGCGACGTGCCTCGATCACGGATGCCTTGAACCGTCTCCAGCGAGCCTCTCTCAGCCCCAGAAATAAGGATCAGGACTCCCCCAACATGTCCTCAGCCAAATCTAGCTTGACCG